TTTTATATTTTTTCATTAGATAGATGTTTAAAAAAATACTAAAGAATATATAAATAAATATAAAAAAGAACAACCAAACTATTAAAATAATAAAGGTAAAAAAGTTTGCTGTTTTAGGCAACATTATAATAAAACTACACGCTCAAGAACATTAAAATCACACATTAATTTTTTTAATTTTCAATTTTTTCTTTATCTTTTTTTTTTTAACACATTTTAAATTTAAAAAACTATATTAATTTTTTAATTTTTTGTATCAAAAAAAAAAAAAAATCAGTTTTACTCAAAAGAGTTCGAATACTAAATTTAATAATATATTTTTTAGAACAATAAATATATTAAAAAATATTTATTACAAGAAAAAACTTCAGTATTATATTTAATGAATTTAAACTAAATTAAAAAATTCCAAATTTTCATACAAAAACATCAATATTTGAAAACATTCAGTTGTTATTCTGTTTTGCTTTGCATACGTAAGTATAAGTTTGCATACGTTTTGCTTTGCATGCATAAGTGTTTAATGCCTCAGAGAAAAGGTGTTCACTTAGTGCACTGGTAGCAGGCGTACATAAAATCATTGTTGAAATACAATACATTATTGGATATACATGTTAATTTTGATACCAAAAGTGTAAAAACATTTTGCTCATTTACTGACAATTTTATATAACCACTAATTTCTCTTTTTAAATCTAAACTTATTATTTTGTCACTATCGTTTCCGGAAATATCATCTTCATCGTCAAATGATAACTTAAATTTTTTTAATTTTTTTTTTTCACCATTTTAAATAGAATTATATCACAAACTTTTTTTGTTTAATGAAATTTCGACAAAAATTCTCTAACACATTTAAAATATTTTTTTCCCTTGTACTTTTCAAAGAATTGAAAACTTTTATAATTTGGATCCAAAAAAGTGGCACATAATAAAACCAAGTAATTGTAATATACTGTAGCTTACAGGGCCGGCACAAGTAGGTAACACGTAGAGAGTGCTGTTAAAATTTTACTTACTAGAAATAGGAAAAAAAAATTCTTGTTTTAATTTACCAACTGACTGTTCTAAAAATCTACATTTGCCAACTTACTTATCTAAGAGTCAAATTGGCTTACTAAATGAGCTAAAAGTTCATTGATGGGATGTCACACACGAAACCAACCAATCCATCCTTACACCCCTTTGTGTTGGCCTTGGTAGCTTATTCAATTCTATAGATATTTGTGTTTTACTATGTTTACTTTTTGGATTTTTTATGAAAAATTTTCTTGAAGTATCTTGTTTATAATATTTTCTTGAAGTAAATTATTTTGATATTTTTTTATTTTTGCGGTATTATGCGATAAAATGATTATGCATTCGCAATCTTATTCAAAAATTCTAATAGAAATGATATCATGTACCCAAATTATTTATATTATATATTTATAAAATTCTTTAGTTGGACTAAAAACAAAGTCGCGTATATTTAGTTAATAAAAAGCTTAGTCGGTTAATTTTAGTTAACTAAAAAGTTAGTTTTGTAATTTTAGATAACTAAAAAGTTAGTCGAATGATTTTAGTTAACTAAAACGTTAGTCGGGTAATTTTAGTTAACTAAAAGGTTAGTCGCGTAATTTTAGTTAACTAAAAAGTTAGTTGACTGATTTTAGTTAACTAAAAAGTTAGTTGACTAATTTAAGTTAACTAAAAAGTTAGTTGGGTAATTTTAGTTAACTAAAAAGTTAGTCGCGTAATTTTAGTTAACTAAAAAGTTAGTCGACTGATTATAGTTAACTAAAAAGTTAGTCAACTAATTTTAGTTACGGTATTTTTAGTTTAGTTAGTTACAATTTTTAGTTTTGGTCACAACACTAATTATAAAACAACGCTTAACATTAAATTCAACATAATTTGATGGATCAATGTTTGAAAATTTTGTATTATTTACATTAAATATGTCTTTGAGCATTGTAGCCTAAGTTAAACGATAGTGCTCAGTAAGGAAAATTATCTGAACATACTCTCATTTTATATTTTATGGTAAATAATTTACTATGAAACATTAATGTAGAAGTTGAACGGTTAATTAGTTTTCTCTATATTTCTCTAAGCTGTATTTCTTTTTACATTGTTATATATCTGTGTGTGTTGATAATAGATAACAAATGCTTACTCAAATTGTAGTTTGCAGTTTTACAAGTTAGAGCTTCGTTTAACGTTTTGTATCATACATAAATCATCTTTCCACATTTCTAGATTGTACTCGTTATTTTTACAATCGATGAGAGCGCATGTTTTCAATCTCTTGAAACTTCTATATGGTATAGGTTCAGTATTTACATTTATTTCCATTGTAAACCTCTACAACTTAAACCGTTGAAATAATGTTTGTTTACCTTTTACTTCCATTTCTGTGCGCGCATAAATTTTATATCGGAATTGTGAAAAGGTGTATTACAGTAATTTAAAGTAATTTAAAAAATATTTTATTATTTTGATTAAAAACTATATTATATTTTTAAAAACATATATTTAAAAAAAAAAAATTTAATTATTAAGAATAATTTAAAAAATTACATTTAAATAAATAAATATCATTTACTATGGGTTATTTTATCTAAATAAAACTTTTATTAAGTTATTGAAACCCTTTTTTCATTATTATTTTAAAAAAAATATTGAAAGGAAAAAAAACTGTCTGAAAAAGTTTATACTTCGTTTTCACTAAACCAAAACAGCTAAAGATCAAAAGTTTATTCATTTAAAAAATAAACTTGCACGATAGTTACAAGGACTGATATTTTTTACTTTTCATTTATTATCTAAAGCACTTTCTCTTAATTGCCGAACCGAAAAATTAACCTTACGCGGAATAGATATTTAAAAACGCTTTAACTTTCAAAAAAGCAAAACTTTTATACATTCCATTGTTATAAAATTTTGCAACGTGGTTTTAAAATTAAATTTCTTAATGACTTTCATTTTTTTAAAAGTTATTTCCAGTTAATAACCGAAGGCAAATTACGTTGCGTATTTATTTAAAAAAGTAATTTCTTTTTAATTCTTTTTATTTTCTTGAAAAAAAAAATTAGGTAGCTAAATTAAACTGAGAATTACTTATATACTACTGCATTTAAAACTAATTTTTTTTTTCTGTTTTTTATAAAAAATTGAAATAATTTTTGGGCGCTTTTATTTGGGCGCCCATACCGGTAAAACAGTACTAAAATACGTCTGGGCTCTTCACTGAATATATATATATATATATATATATATATATATATATATATATATATATATATATATATATATATTTATATAATATATATTTAACATCTTACTTAGACATAATATTTATTTTTAATTTTAATTTTTAAGAAGCAATACTACACATGCTCACATGGTTATTTTTGTTAAAAACAAAAAATTAAAAACTGACTTGATTATTGCAAGGAAAAATATTTTATCACTTTGTATCTTTACCTATATGAACTAATAGTAAACCAAGTCGTTATCCTAAAAATCCCTTTAAACATGCAAGAAACAACTTTTCCCTAATTAATTATACTTAAATATTATTATACTTAAACTTTAGAATGATTTCCAAATAATTTTTTTAATGTGATAAAAATGCATAAAAGAACTAATGTTCATTACAAATATATATACCCAACACAAAAAGTATATATATTATTATTGATCCAAGATGGTGCACCTTATTTGCAGCAAATTTATTATCTCATCTATCATAGAGCACATCATAAGTTGTAAAATGGGTTGATGCAATCTTGCTTACTACACTTACTACAGTTGCTTCCATATTTAAGTTTTTTAGTTCATGTTGATTCCATGAAGAAAAAGTGTCTCCTTTTAATGCATACATTTACAATTTTTAATGCATTAAAGGTTTTTTAAAACTTTATTTGTAAAGAATGGTGCTTTTCAAATATTGAAATTCTTTAACTAATTTTTGGATGTAGTTGTATAAACAAATATAAACAATTTTCTAACATTTTTAAAAATTTCAATAAACCAATAAAAATCTAAATAAATATAGTTTAAATAAAATCTACATAAATATGGTTTATGCAAATTTATTTTTATTGGTTTATTGATATTTTATTAAAACTAATACGTTCAGAAATAGATAATTTTTACATTTAAACATAAAACATAAAATGTTATTTACATTTAATTCATATACATTTGAGGCTTTTATTTCTCTCAGAAGTGGTTTTGAATTTGAAAAAGGACAAAAATTTATTAAGTTGCATGTTTCTATGCTTAGATGAGAGATTTAAGTTTAGCTTTATGCAGATTTACATTCTACAATATTTGCATAATTTAGATGGCAATGAATAAATGAATAATATAGTTATTTTAATTGTTTATTTAACATATGTCTAGCTTTATATAAAAAATTCCAATACTTTTAGCAATTTTCATGGATATTTTATCAATTTGTAGTTTCCAGGTAGATTTTTGTCTACAAGACCTCTGAGAAGTTTTGTAATTTTTTCACTTTTTTATATTGTATTATCAATAAAGTCAGACATCCTGTTTGGCACATTTTTTTTTCTTCTGGAAATTAGGTACTTGATAAAGTATTAGTGTGAATTTTTAATTGTTTTGATTGTTTACGGTTATAAACTAAGCATTATTACATTAAAGTTTTTGAATGTGATAAATTTACTCCATTTCTTTTGTTGTTAATTCAAGCATCACCAACCTTTTTAACTTTTAATTGAATGTTTTCATAAAATTCTACGATATTCTGGAAACTTATAAAAGCTTTCAAAAGTTCAAAACTAAAAAAATAAAATCATAACAATAATAGTTACTAAAAATTAGTTTGCAAGTTAATTAATTTGATTAACAAAAAGGTTTAAGTGAATAGAGTCAATAAACACTAAATTCTAAAATTTTTATTCATGAGTTTTTAGCTTAAAAAATCAGTTTTTATATTGTTTTTCTTGTGATCATTTTATTTTTTTACATATTTTTTTAATATTTAGACACTTATGACTCTCGCCATCTTAAATACGACTGGTATTGGAAACCGGGAATCGAAATTAAAGAAGAAAGCATGCTTGAGTTTAAATTGACTGATCATAAAACAATAGGAGAAGAAAGATACTTTGTTGCAGGTAGATATTGGCCTTGTAAACTTTTCATTTTGTACTGTGTTTAAAATCATAACTTATTATTAGTAATTGTCTTTGGACACATTTTTATGATTTTCCAAATAAAGAGATGTATTTATTATACAAATTAACTTTTACACAGACACAGTTTACAAAGACACATGTTACGAAGACATAGGTTACAATAACACAGGTTGCAAAGACACAGTTTGAAATGATGCAGGTTGAAAAGACACAGGTTACAAAGGCACAGGTTGCAGAGACACAGGCTGCAAAGACACAGGTTGCAAAGACACAGGTTGCAAAGACACAGGTTGCAAAGACACGGGTTACAAAGGCTTTTACTTATGATAATGAGTTTAAAAGCCTTTAATGATATCAATCTATTTCTCCAATTTCACAATATTTTTATTAACTTAATCAAGTTTTAAAGATGTCAGTAACATATCCAGCAGTTATTTATGGATACCAATTTCAGTTGCAGGTTCACCTGATTTTACTTTATTTCTCTCCTCACGAAGAAATGATGGAGTCCTAAATGTTTAATAAGAAATATAATAATAAATTATAATAGCTGATAGGTCAGTCAATTACAACTCCAGTAAACATCAGACTAATATAAATACTACAATGGAAAATTAAACTTTAAATATACGGTTAAGTAATATGAGTCTTATTTTTTTTGAGTCTTTTATTTTTGATTAAAAAAAAAGTTATTTTTATGTAAATATATATTTGTAAATATGCTTAAAAAATTAGCTATTAAAAAATGTTTAAATTGTTAAGTCCTTTCATTTTTTATTTTTATTACCATAAACGTTATGGTAAACAAACTAAAATACATTTACAAGAAATCTTTGTTTATTAATCTGTTGTTGAAAAAGTCAATTGAAAAATGTTGTATTATATATATATATATATATATATATATATAATATATATATATATATATATATATATATATATATATATATATATATATATATATATATATATATATATATATATATATATATATGTACATACATATTTAGGCTATTTATATGTTTTAGGAAACTATACAGTACTTGAGGGACGATTTAGGTTCAAAAGACTAATGGGTTTTGCTATAACACAGGTTTATTTACCTTCAACAGTAATTGTAACAGTTTCATGGGTGTCTCTTTGGATTAAAAGAACAGTTATCCCGGCCAGAGTTTGTAAGTCTATCTACTGTTAATGTATTATTTATAATGATTCAGTCAAATAAATTAATTAAGAAATTAATAATAATCGATTGATGAGAAAATTTTTTATTTGTTATTCATTCATATGCCTTTTAGGGAAAGGCATATGAATGTAATCTAATTTGCAGAAAGTTATTTATATACTTATATAAAAATAAATTAAGAAAATGTTGCTACTTTTAAAACAAAGCTAATTATATTTTTGAATTTTGCCCCTAAAGCAAAAATATATGTATAGTGACTGCGATGAACATGAATAGTGCTATATACACATATACAATAAATAAATATAAATAGTACTATATACACATCTTTTCTATGTTGACTTATTTTGTAAGAAATAATGACCTAAAACATTAAAAGAAAAAAAAAACTTTACCTATTGACACAATTGCAAAGGTAAAACAATAAACTAAAATTTATGCTGAACAAGATTTATTGGCAGACCTTAATAAACCAATTTTTAAAAATGTATGCTTCCAACCATCCTGGAAACATGTTTCCAACCATCCTGATTCATATACAATACACAACAAGTGTTGTGAATTTAAATTGGGGGTAAAATGTATACCACTAAACAAACATTGTTCATTTCCTAAATTGGTAGAAAATCTAGACTCATATGACATTGATCATGATTTTTATGTAAAAAGGGCTCAACATAAAGCCATTTAATGGTTTTAAAGAACTTTTTTGTGTTTTTCAAAGAAAGTGATTTAGCTTGATTTCAAAGTCTATTAAAAAGTTGTTACTTGGCATATTACTATCCCTGGGAAATACTCTATCTTCACAACTGTTCATAAACTGTTATGTTTTGATGCTTTCATGTCTTTTCGATTTAGTGACTAACCAAAATCAGATGCATATTCTAATAAAGATAAAACATGAAACTGTTAGATGCCCTAAGTTTTGATTTTTGAGTTGTGGTCACAGAGGGTAGTGACCCGAGCGTTATATATTGAAGCAGCTGCATAAATTTTTACTAGGCTTGGTCAATCTTTTCTGAAGTATATGAGGCAGATGGGTTATTTTTTTTATAATGATTAACCATTATGAAAACTAAAGAAATTTTGAAAAAATGTAATATAAAATGCATATTTAAACACAATAAATTACCATCGATCACAGTAAAAAATGATACAAGAAAGAGTTAAAAAGTAAAATTAATAAACCATGTAAGACAATGTTTATTTGTAAAAATTTAATTTAAGTAAACTGTTTGCTTGGCTTGTCTTCTTCTCAACAAAACAAAACCATGTTATTCAATAAAACCTATTAAATAAATCCAAGGCAGATCATAAGTAAAATATACATGCTAAGCATGCCAAGCTAGAGTTTTGTAAAGTCACATGTATGCATAAAGTTGTATAAATGATGGCAGAAACATAGAAGTTAATTCCATTTTAACCAAAAGGTGCTTAAAAGCCAAGTAATGAGTTGACTTTTAATGACTGATTCACATAGGAGCGTAAAAGATTTTAAATCCAAATTTTGCTCTGAACTCTCTGACAATTTAAAACCTTTTTTTTTCTTGATATCTTTGTAGTTGGATCAATAAACAAAATTTGTAGTTGAATTTATCATTTATCATTTTTAAAGTATTGCTTAAAACTAGCAAATTGCTAATTTTAAACAATACTTTAAAAATGATAAGTGTAAAATTGCTGGCACCTATCCAGATAAGTAACATTTGGTAAAAAAGGAAGCGTAAACTTGCTGTTATATGGACTTCTACGATGCTCTGTGATATAATAGAATATGGAGAGAGTGCTTTTGTTTCTGGTACATATCTGAGCTAACTTTTAGAACCAGAAGATGATATAAATCATATGTATGGATGCTATATCCATCTTAGATAATTTGTAGTATGGCTGGATATGTTTCGGGATATATTTTTGGGTAGATATGTTTCGGAATTAGAAGTTTTCACGCTGATTTCTAGTAATATAACTATAATACTTGACTCTATTATACTCGGACATTCAGTACTTTCTTCGACAACCATTGGTATGTGTGTATCTATGAATATGTATGTATATGAGTATCATATTATTTTTCTGTTGAGAATATTATGCAATAATAATTAGTGCTAGACTAGGAAGCTATGACTGAATTGTCACGTGGGCATACTTTACATATATGTGTGTATGAGTGTGTGTGTATATATATGTAAAAATGTTTGTTTTTGGGTTGTCATTTTTTATACATAAATGGTTTTTTTCTCGCCTACATAATTTTTGATAATTTACGTTGTAATGGTTTCGTTTACTGTTTTCGTTGTTATTACTATATTTTATATAAAACCTGTTTTTTAATTGGTTAGCAACATTTGATCTAGGTATCTATGGCAGAGTTAAATGTATGGTTTTGTTGTTTTTATAATTTCATATATCTTTCTACACTTTATTGGCTTGAGTTTATTTATTCAAAAAGTATCAATTTTAGCAACTTGTTGTATTTTTTAATAAATTTTTATCTAACAACAGTTATCACATTGTTAGTTTAATATTAGTAGTTACACATTGGTAGTGTAGTTAAGTATTTTGTGGTTTTCTATAAGAATAATTTGTATTATTTTATATTATCATTTACATTTTAGTTTTTTGTTTTTTGTTATTTTTGTTTAAAAACTTAATTTATATTTTATTTTATATATTTATCTTGTTATTTTATATATATTTTATTTTATTTTAAATTTGTTATATTATTTGGTATTGAATTCACTACTCTCACTATCCATGTTATTTCTTCAAAAATATTAGTGATTTACAAATTTGGGTGAGGTTAGGGTTTTGGCTGTTTTGTAGTAAATTCCTTTTTTTACTGCAGTATGGAATAGGCCTAAATCGCGGGGTAAAGCATAAATAGCGATGATGTTTATCTGACGGGATTAACTAGGTATTGGTGCTGAACCTCTTCGAAACGCCGGTAATAATAAACGCGATTCTGAGGAGAAGTTTATTACCACCACTACATAAATTATGATTACACAAAAGCAATAATAACTGTGTAAACACCTAGTTTACAAAGTTCAACCTTAATAGCTAAAAATAGCTATTATAAAAAGTTCAAAATAAAAATAAAATTAGTATTTTTATTTTTAACTTTTAACAAGTTAAAAAATATATATTTTTTTATTTTTAACTTGTTTTATGCTTTTCTTAAATAGTTAAAATTTTGAAATCCAGTTTAAACAAAACTTTTGATGAAGTCCAGGAATGTGAAATTTTGCAGCATCCTATTTTTGGCATATTTATTCACCTAATAGATTTATAAGTTTTATCTGCTGTTAACCAAATCTGCTGTTTTATCTGCTTTAATTTTATCTGCTGTTAAATCTGTAATAGAGATAAGAGTTAAAGTAAAAAATATTTTTAGGACATCATATAAATAATTATTCTAAAGTAACATATAGCCAGAAGAAACCATCAATGGAAGCACCTGGAAAATGAAATTAAGTTTTCTGCGTAAATTTATTTTTCAGGTACTTTCATTTGTAGAAATAGATAGGTTTTTATTTTAATTTTTTTTTAATACAAAAGACCTACTTAACTTTAGCGTCTTCAGTAGTTTTTCTAATCATTCCCATATCTGACAGTGTAAATATAAGATTTATGAACCAATCTTATTGTGATATAATGACTAAAACAATAACAATCACAAACATATTTTTTTATTACAGACGCTGTTTTAGTTATAGTTATTTTATAATATCAGCCATTAAATAATTAAATCTGAGTTCTCTCCTACATAGATTGATTGCAATCAACTTAGTTGATTGCAATCAACTTGCAATTCTAAATGTTTGTTGTCGTAACTGACAGGTATTTCATTTCCTTCAGGAGTTTTACTTATCTTCCCCTTCCATTTATTGTTTGTGGAAACAAGTGTTTTTTTTTTCAAATTACCCATCAAAGTTTGTAATGGGATATTTTATAATCAATAACAGAACCCTCACTGAATTATTGAATAAAAATTTCAATGGTCTGTTAGTGTTTGATGCAAAAGTACAGTAAATTAAAACTTATATCAAATATCGAAACTCAACATTGTCGAGCTTCTATATTAGCTAGCTTTTTATTTAATTGTGTTTGAAGAACTTTTCAGTGTGGAAATTTTCAAAAAAATCTGAATGAAGAATTGGCTTTAGCTACTAAAGCATACGTTTTTTTTTACAGAAAAAAAAGATAAAACTACAAATAAAAAATTCACAATTTAGTATTAAAATTAATATTTTTTTAATTATAATGTAATTTTTCAGCAACAAAAAAAGTAAAAAATAAAGAATCACAATTAAAAAAATCAAACTTTTTGAAATTTTCTGAAATTTAAACATGTTCTACGCAGGATAGTTGTAGACATTTAATTACTCGCTAAAAATTCATTAAATTTTTGGTTGTGGACTTTTTAATTTAAAAAAGATATACTAAATATCCAAACCGCTGATAAATAGCAGTCCAGACAGCGGATACTAATACCCGAAAGTATTAGGGTATTAAAACCCAAAAGGGCTAAAATTTTTTAAAGTTGATTTTATTATAGAATTATTTTATTTTACATCAAAAGTAAAAACTGTTATGATTTAACTATATTTTTTGTGCATTATTTTTATCAATTTTTATTTTTTATATTGGTAAATGGAAACCACCTAGACTATTTTCATCTATATCGGCAGCCTATTTTAAATAAAGAGCCATTTTTCCTTAAATCATTTTTAAAAAACTTATCAAGAGCTTCATGGAGTGTGAATAACTGATGATTATTATCAGCAACTTATTATTTTAAGATATTTAATGATATTTAAATGTTGTTTAAGTTATTTAAAAGTGTTTAAATAACTTTAAAAAATCGCAAAGGTTTAATGTTTTTGAGACAATTTTTACTATTAAGTCATTTTCGTCTCAAATCTTAAAAAAAAACGTTTGGCAAAAGTACAGTGTAGTTCAAAAAGTTAGCCATAGCAGGGTTTAACGTAGTTAGATTTATTTTCTCATGGCAATACAGTTTCCACACTGATTGTTATGTTATGTTTAAGCAATACATTCAAAACTTTAAATGTTGTTTTTAAATGTTGAAATTTTTGCATGCAAATTTTATTAACGTTTTTTTGCGGAACTATGTTTGAGCAATATTAATAATTATGTACTTTAATATAAATAGGTTTAAGAAGTCTTTAATGTTTTACTTTCTAAATCCAGGACAAAATATCATTAATTTTTATATAATTTACTAAAGCTAAATATTGTTATAATTTTATAACTCAAATTGTTGTAATTAGTACTTTTAACATTTTTTACGTTGTTATGATTCATATAATAATAGGTCTGCAATAAATTCTTTAAAAATTAAAAAGAGAGACTTAGCCAAACCTATTAATATCGGTCCTCACATATGAACATTTTGTTACAGAAAGTTTATTGAAGATTGCCTTGTTTTTTTCTATGTACATCCTGATCATTTTCTACATTTATATAAAAAACTTTTACAAGAAAAGTCGAACAGATAGAGTTAACATATTTAACCTATCTACCTATCATGACCTGTTTTACGGGCAATTTTTTGCTAGTTTATTAATAATATTTAGATAATATATTTACTATGAAATTTAAACTCTTGCTTCTTTTTAGCTTTATGTATTACAACTGTTTTGACAATATCAACAATTTGGGGTAATGTAAACGCTCAGTTACCGCGTGTCAGCTATGTAAAAGCTATCGACGTTTACCTTATGACATCATTTATTTGTATTATTTTGACACTATTGGAGTATACAATTGTTTTAAATATACCAGATATTATGAAGAAAGTTCGAAATAACCCATTATTTAGAAAGCGGGTGAGTTTTTTCATTTTCAAAACTAAGGTGCAGCGGCGTAACCACAGCTGACATGAAGTAGTTAAATTTAAAAAAAAAAAAAATTAATTGTGTTAAAAAGCCAGAGAAAAAATGCGGTGCTCTATCAAAAAAGCGTATAATATATAATGCAAATATCGGATATTAAAAGTTTTTTTAGGTTCAAGTGTGATGATTAGTACGCATGCGTACGCATCTTCTCACGTTGTTTATTTTAATTATCTATTTTTAAACAATGAACCAACTAAAAAATCATTATTGGTTCATTGTTTGAAGTTTATTTTATTAATAAACTAGTTATATACTGTTATAATTAATTACTAGAAAATGGTTAAGGACACTTCAAACAACATTCAACTGTTACCAAGAGCAGTAAATAACGAAGAAAGTTTAAAGGAAGCAGAGAAAAAAAAAGAGCAAAAAATACAGCAAGAAAACATTGACATATGTAATCGCATTGAGTTTCTTTCTCGCCTCTTTTTTCCTTTAGCTTATACAATTTTTAACATATTTTATTGGTCAATTTATTTAAAAGAAGATTTAAAAACGCTGGAATAGTTTTTTAAAATGTAAACAAAATCGACAAAATTGTATTTATTAAATTTTTTATAAATTTTCCTCAAAAATTTTTACTATAAACTTTAATTTTTGTCAAAACCTTTTTTAATTGTAATTTTTTTATTGTAATTATTTTATAAAAAGTATTGGTTCCTCTAATAATAGATTATTTCTTTTTTCTTATTTAATGTAAATTATTTGTGTTCGTTTTTCTTATTTAATGTAAATTATTTGTGTAAGTCTGATCTGTATGTTGAGTTTTGCCGTCGTCAGAGGCGATTTTATCCTCGGTATTTTTAGAAACACTATCGTTTCAAGTCAATCATATTGAATTTTAATTTTGAGAACTTTTTTTTTTTTCCAGCCAGTCCATTTTAAGGATTCAAATCCTCCTCCCCCCCCTCCCTCATTTTATTCTGAACATTGCGTATGAGTGTGTATGTTATATTAATAAAAAAAGACCAAACAGTATGAGATTTTTCAATACAAATAATAATTTATGAGAAATTTTCGCAAGATTGTTGTCACCAACATCATCAGCTCGTAAAATAAATTATTATTTTCTTCATGTTTTTCGTTATAATTATAAAAAGTCTAAATCCAACATCACTTGAGTTTTGGCGCCTAAGATCCGAACTTATTGAAATCTTTGAACTAATACATCGGTTTGATATAATTAATAATATATATTAACCAAAATTTATCAACTCTTTGTAAAGTTGTCACGATCTTAAAATAAGGGGTGAATATTTTCGAAACTGTCTGCCAAGACCCAACCAATAGAACAGCAAAATATATAAATATATATATATATATATATATATATATATATATATATATATATATATATATATATATATATATATACATATATATATATATATATATATATATATATATATATATATATATATATATATATATATATATATATATATTATACTGATAATATATATATATATATATATATATATATATATATATATATTTATATATATATATATATATATATATTTATATATATATATATATATATATATATATATATATATATATATATATATTAAAAAAAACTAATAAATTATGCTTCAACTTCAAGTAAAAAAAATAAGCATTTGTTAGTCCATAGCAAGTAAGTTGATATCAAAGCAGCCTTAACGCAGTGGTAAAAGTTCTGGCTCAGAACCCAGAGGTCCGAGGTTCGACGCCAGCTCTAACCCAATAAACGACATTGGTAAGGAAGGAGGCGTGAACTTCTAGTTAAATGCTCTCCAGCGGTGCTCCGTGATAAGACCGTAAGGACTTCTGGAAGCACCTAAATAACCTTAAAAAAAAAACTGTGAAAAAAGATCGCTTTCATAAAAAAAAATAGTTCAAATAATTTTCATAACTGCTTGGCAAAATATAGAAAAATTGCATATGAATCACTTTGATAAATAATCTCTTCGACTGTTTTTTAAAGAAATGCTTAACAACAATCTTAAGTCTGTAAGTCGTGGTGGCCTTAAAATTCTAATAAATTATATATGCCAATGGTTGCTTTTTTTTTCATTCAATAAATGATAAAGTTTGCCGTTAGTTTTTGAGTTTTAGTAGTTTCTCAATTTTAATTTTTTTGAAATCAGCCACACAAAAAAATATTATATACCAGTGAATTTAATTATTATTATAGTTGCAGCCGTAAAATATACATACAATATATACATACAGCGAGCAGAGTTTAATCTAATTTTAGTCTAGTCTAATTTTAAAATAAAGTATAGTTGAGTAAAAAGTTAATTGCTCAGGTAGTTTGTTCCACTATTTTGCTGTTTTATTGGTTGGGTCTTATAATAATTCTAGTATCAAAAGATACAACTCAAGCAATTAATACTGCTATTGAGGTACATAAAAAGAAACTAATCGAACGCATTATTAAAGTCGGAAGAGAAAATGAAAGATTAAATACTAAAAATGAAAGTTTAAAAAAACAGTTAGCCGAACAATGCAATCAAAATAATAACAAACCACTCTTTAGTAGTTTTATTAAGAAAACAAGCGACCTAGTGATTCAGAAACGAGAGCACCTATTATAAGCACCTATTAGTGATTCAGAAACAAGATTGTTAAATGCAATTTCAGCTGAACAAAAAGAAAAGATCAAAAAAGAAAAAAATGTACTAGTGTTTGAATTAAAGGAATCGAAACGAAAAAGCAAGAATGAAATTAAAGAAGATAATGATGAAAGTGTTGGAGAAGTATTTGACGCTGTTGGATTAGATAAATCCTGTATTATCAAACATTTCAGGTTAAATAGTAGAGAAAAAAATAGACCAGGACCACTAGTTATTGAACTAGTTGATCCATCATACCAGTAAAAATTTTTTAAGTGTTACTAGAGATTTATATTAAAATTGAGGTATGATAAAAATAAAGTATTTATCAATCCAGATCTAACGTATAGACAAAGAGCTAGTCTTAAATTGCTACTTTGGGAAAGAAATAGGCTGAATAAAATAGAGGAAGATAAAAGTTCTATATTTCAATTTGTTATCAGAAATGATATGCTGCAGAAAATTGAAATCAAAAAACACTAAAAAAATGAATGCACCATCAAGTTTAATATCACAACTCAACGAAATAACGTGCTTATACATAAACGCAACTTCATTAAACAATAAGTTGGACGAACTAAATGAAGTGATTAATTCTAACAAAGCTAATGTAGTTATGATTTGTGAAAATTGGTGGAACAATGAGTCAGTAACTAATATCAATAAATACACCTTGTTTAGAAGAGACAAAGGCGTTGGTAGAGGTGGAGGAGTTTGTATATATGTACAAAACAATATAAGCGTATAAAGTTTCAGAAAAATGTTTAAATGAACCTAATATGGAACAGATTTGGTGCGTTATTGATTTAGGAAGTGAAAAAATATTATGTGGCAGTATGTACAGAACCGGATTTAGTAACATAAGTAACTGTATCAACATCACAAAGTCTATTAATTTTACTCATTTGATTAACTTGTTAAATAAATATACTGGAATCCTTATTTGTGGGGATTTTAATTTCAACGCAATAAAGTGGACAGAAGATTACTATAGCACACTAATTATAGTTAGTGTGCCATAGTGTGCTAGGAAAATTTTGGCTGGTGTATCAGTCTCACTATAGTGAGACTGATACACCAGCCAAAATTTTCTTAGAATGTTTAAACAATAGCTTCATGCATCAGAATGTGATTAAACCAGCTTTTCAAAAGAACATTGGGAATGAAACGAATGTACTGGATTTGATTATAGCTTAGAATAAAAATAGAGTTTATAAACTGATTCAACTTCTACTATTGGGAGCTATTAACAACGGTCATCACTTTATTAAATTTAACTAAAGTCATGAAAAGTGTATTGACAACATTGTACTTATGAAAGAAAAATTTAGTTTCAATCGAGATAAATTTGATGAATTAAATAATTATTTTAAAATCTTAAACTGGGACAATGAATTCAAAGGTTTAGAAATTGTTACAATATTAAAAATGTTACAATAAATGGTTAAGCCTTTATGAAGAAGGGTGTAAACTCTTTATTCCAATCATTAAACCGGGAAGCATTTAAACCAACACGAAACCTCTCTGGATTAATAAAAAATTAAAAGCGCTGTCAAAAAGAAGAAGAAGGAGTGATTTGAAACAAATGTTCAAATATTTGAAAGAGTACGATATTATAAATTTTTACACAAAACCGTTACTTTTGAATAAATAATAATATACGATCAATATAATAAAAATGTCACGAAAAAGACATTTGCGGTTTTGGCTCTAACTGGAAAATTCCTATCGAGTGTTAATATTAACTTTTTTTTTTTTGTGAAAAATTTAATTGAGAATTCAGACGAATAATAAATAAAATAAATATAAAGATTTAAGTTAAATAAAAATAATTTAATTAAAATTCATTTCAATAATCAGTTAAGCTCTAACTTGAACGTATTCCATATTTAAAAATGTTGCGTAATGCGTGGTGGTATGTTATACAGCAGGTGCAATCACCTTCTATCATTGTATATTTTGCCTCAGTAATAATTCTTTCCAAATACTGCATTTTTTGTTTCACAATCTTAGCCCGGAATACAATAGGAATGCGAATTGCATATTTAACGTTACTTTTAATTTTAGACCAGATTTTACCAACAGATTTAACATTGGACTGTAGATACAGTCCGATGAAAATTTACCTGCTCAGTTTTTACGTTTAGGACTCTACGTAGAGTTTTTTTTTTCATTACTGTTCATAGTAGAAGACACCTTTAATGAAAACAATCCGCCTTCAAGGTAATTGGCAATTGTTATTGTGCTGAAGGTAAAATCAAACTGTCCTAATATTTTTGTTTTAATGGCCACCGATGTCAATTGACAGTCACATTCAATCCATGTTAGCTTTTCTTTAATTTATCCTCAGTTTTCTAAAGTTCATCAGAGTCACCCAATTGTCATTTCCAGCATTCCCAGTACACTAAAAAACTCAATTAATTTGTTTTGTTTGTTCCAGAAGTGGATCTAAACAGACTTTCGGGTCATGATGTATTGACAAATAACACAACAATCTTTCAATTCCATTATTATTACTGATGTATACAAATGCCTAATTTGATATTATTAACTTATTCAAATTCGTGTTTTAGAAAACCTTTTATGATGACTTATAGCAATATTAGCCAAAGCTTTCAAAGTTCAAATTATAACAGGTTTATACAGACTTTTAGGATCCTCAATCTACTTACATCTACTCCTTACTTACTTACTTACTTACCTCAATCTAGTTACAACTAATAGTTACATCTACTATTACTCCCGTTATATCAACAAAAGTCTCAGCATTTTCAAATGCCCTTCTAACGTGTTTCAATCATTAGCGTTGTCAAAACCTTGTTTGGACATTTCCTAGTGGGCACAGAACTCAAAAAAGACGTCCTTTGAACGTTCAAAAGACGTCTAAAAAAAGTCCAAAGCGTTTGAAAGACGTTTAAAGAACATCTTTTACATCCCGTGCTCACTAGATAAGCTCCTCTCTCAACCCCATTTGAATATTTATTTTTCTATTTTATACTAACTTTTTTTAGCAGGGGATTTGACAAAGTACCTGGATCTGCTGCAAAGTCTTTTTTGTTAACTACAATATCTTTGATCAACCAAGTTTGCTCATATTCCAGAAGATTCTTGAATGTTTTAAAACATGCAAAACGCCGTCAAATCTTGCATACTTTAGTTTTAAAATCTCCTTTCATATATACCTATCAATGGGAATAATTCAAAAAAAGTTAAAATTACGATAGAAACTTATATATCTTATATAT